CTTGGTGCCTTTCATTTATTATTCTGGAAGCCACAAGTGGACAGGGACACATATCTCTTACTTGCTACTATATCCCCAGTGCCTGGCACAGTTAGGGAACTATTATCAAGAATGAATTGTTAGTCATTATTAATTAATAATTCCCTAGTTATCAATTAAGCTGAGTGCCTAAAAGAAAGGCCTGTTCTACTCTTCCACTCAGAAGATGATCGGGGAAGCAGGAATAAAGGAGAGATCCCAGACGAGGAAAGAGGAGACAGAGATGGTGACTTAATATTTTCTGTCATTCCTTTCTTCCTTCCTTCCTTCCTTCCTTCCTTCAATATACAGTAAGTGCTTACTATGTGCCCTAAGGATGCCACAGGGAAGATTTATTTGGTAGCTGATTCTTTTCCACCATCTTACCTTCTCTCCTCACTTCTCTCTCTCTCTCTGTCACATACATACACACACACACAGCCATGAGGGTAGGAAACGCCCCTAAATTCTAAGTCCCTGCAGGGCACACAGTGGATGCCTCCTGGGTTTCTGACAAAACATGCATGCACAGGGGTGTTCCTGACTTCTGGGGACATACACATGTGGCCTGGCTGGGGGCTCCAGCCTTGGAGGGAAGAAGACAAGGGAGTCCTTGAATCCTCCACCAGAGCGCAGATCACAAAGATATGTCATAGCACCACTAGCCCTCCAGCAGACCCAGATCTATGGAAAGCCAGCAGCCCACTGGTACTTGACCCAGCTCAGCTTTCCTGGCCTCTTCTCTCCACTCCCATGGGTAAAGAAAGCAAAGTCGCCATTGGTTGCTCATGGAAGAGGAGAACCTCTGTGGAGAACTCAAAGATGCTAGCAAGCAGAGGTCTAATTCCTCCACACCAAGTCTTCCGCCAGCCTCAGAGCAAATCATCTTTTAATTCTGAAACACCAAGTACTTAATTTATGTTCTACTTCAAATGTCAAATCCACCTCCCAGCACATAGCTTTGAAACCACGTAAGGAGCCCTAACACTTTCCATATGGTGAAGACATGGGGCCTTTTAATTGTGCCAAGTGGTATCATTCAAGGGTAATTCCCCTGAAATCCAGCATTCGGGCAGCAGCTGGGCCAGACTCCAATCTCATCACCCAGCCCCGCACATCCCCACAGGCTCCAACCAGGCCTGCACCCACCTAATCTTCTCCAAATATCAAAATGTGCTAGGTGCCCCCTAATCAAATTACCAAACCACCTGGCAGCTGCCTTTGATCTAGAGGCAGGCTTGCCTGCCCCACAGCTCACAGTGTATTCCTGCAGGCAGCTCCGCTATAAAAGAACAAAAGGGTCAAGCTGGGGGGTGGGGGGGATAGGGTGGGAAGGGTGCTTTAAACCTGGTTGTACACATCCACACATGCGCACATGTACACCCCGTGCTCACATATGTGACCCAGTGCAGAGGCACACAAGTTCTATATCGCCATACTGTCCTGTCCGACACCTAAGTTCATCCTGCTATTCTTTCCACCCATTAAACTTTTGTATTCACCCATGGAATTTTCCAAACCCAGTATTTCCAATTGGTTTTCTTTTCCAACTGCCTTTTGCTGCTGCGCATTTCCAATATTCTCCATTATCTCTTTGAGATGACTGTGCTTCTTTTATTTGTTAATTCTGTGTAGCACATGGCTCTCTGACATATGCGTGGAGTTGTACGCTCCCTGTTTCCCCTGACTTTTCTCCTATGAGCTCGTGTGCCCTTGGACTTTATCACGCAATCATGGAAAGAGCAAAAGCCCAGGCTTAGCCTGGGTCCCTCCAAGTGGGAAGAGGTAACTCTGGTTTCATAATCCCTTCTTATGCACCTCCAACTCCATCCAGGTTCTTTTTGAAGAGTCATCTGTTGTAACTCTGCCAGGGATGAGAATATCACACCCATTTTGCAGAGGAGCTAATTAAGGTATACAACAGCAAAATGGCTTACACAAGGGGACAAGCACTGTAACCAAGCCTGACCTCAGTGATTTCTGCAGTTAGGAGGACAGGCTTAAGTTAGTGGCAGTGTGGTTACCCTCTCCATTCCAGGACCTTGCATGCAACAAGAACCCATCTTGAGCATTCACCAAGCTCCTCAGACCCACAGGGGAAAGGGGCAGACAGTGGCTCCTCCGCTCCTGCCTGCACCACCATGCTCATCTCCATGCGCTTACCAGCTAGCTGGTGTTCCCCCTCCCAGAATTAGCCAATGCACCCCTCCCAGACCATACTCTGGTACAGAGCCTCACCACACACGACTTCCTCTCCTAGAAAGTGCTTCAGGAAGGGAGAGAAACTCAGTCCACACCAGCTGGCAGGCAACTCCAGAGGGTTATGGGGAGATTAAGATAATGTAAGCAAAGTGCTTGACACACACAGGCACTTAATAAATAGTAGCTGTCACTGCAGTAGTAATGTTAGTTGGATAAGCCACTAATGTGTCCCCAACCACTTGGTGACAGACCAGGTGGAGGAGGAGAGACAGAGACCATCCCAGAGACAGGCTCGGGCTGGCTGGAGGACCACTGCCAGCCCAGGAAGCTGGCAGACTTTGGAGCACACCCTCCTACATGCTGATGACATCACAGAAGAACCTGCCAGCTACCCCTCCAGTGCTGACAGCCCTCAGGAAATGAAGCAGGGATGAGGAGAGGCCACCATTGTCCTCAGTGTCCCCAAATTTGAACATCCATTCCTACATTCACTGTGCTGACCACTTGTACTCAGCGTTTTCTTCCAAACCAACTTTACATTAAACTATCTTTTAACTTAGCTTCATCCTAAGCAATCATATCCATGAAATCATGGGTTTGATGGCCTAATTATTTTTTTTCTTATTAAAAAAAAAACCAGGTAGCTATTAAGATTAAAAATCCTCCTTCAGGACACCACCTGAAATTGCCTCACAGGCTCCCTACAGTGCTGCCCCACACCTTGGGCTCACCATGACCATCTCCCAGGGTAGCCTGGTCTTCCCTACCACTGCAGACTCAGAAGCTGAGCCATTTGGACCAAGGCAGGTGGGAACCCAGGCATCCAGGCCCAGCCACTAAGAATAACTCCCAAGGAGGCAGGGACATCCCCCCCCCCTTAAAGTCTTTGATGGCTGGGCCCACCCTCCAGCCACCAGACACATGTCATGCCGATGGCTCTATGCTTCACATCTTCAAACGTACTTTGAACAAATATTAATGACCCCTCAGCGTTTCTCTGAGAGAGGGGGCGAGGGAAGAAGGGGGACAAGCACCATCTCATGCTGTCCTCAGCTGGAGGAAGAAACCAGGCAACAAAATTCCATGACTTCACCAAAGCCACAGACTTAAGCTGGGGCCCCCTCCCCACACTCCCTCATTTCCCCCAATGGCAACTTTTACTGGCTTGCATTCCTCTTGCTGGAAACACTACTATTTAATTAAAAACGACAGACTTTTGTTTTCCTCTCCTTCCTTCCTCTGCCCCCCACCCCCCCGCCATCCTCTCAGACTGGATGCCAAGGAGACCCACCAAAAACATTCGGGTAACATTTGTTATGGCTTTGAAGATAAAAGTCAATTGAAGTAAGCCCTCACTGTATTTCAAGTTTCCCCTCTAGCATGAAGCAAAAGCTGCCTGGCAGTTTAGGGAAAAAAAAGAAAAAGGAGGGACTGCAAATACATGTCATTCTGCAGGAATACTTTGTAAAAATAAACAGGCTGAAAAATCCCAAAACTTGATTAATGGAAATCCACTCAGTTGGCCTCTGTCTTGAGCTGCAAATGCATTTTCATTGGCCTTTAAATAAATAAGTAGATGAAAAACTAGAGATGGTGGGGGAAGAAAGAGAAGTTTGTAGTTCTGTTGTTAAAGGGCTGGACTGCAGTGGCCCCCACCCACCAAGGTCTGACCTTCGCTAGGGTCTAGCAGCTCCAATTCCACCCCAGCTAAGAGAGAACTGGAGAAGAGAAAGGCCCCAGCGAGGAGGAGGGGGAGGGGGGAGGGGGAGGAGGAGATGGGAGCTTCTCTGGGACACAGAGGATACTCCACAAGCATACAGGCCCACCTCCCAGCACAGGCCCCTGCAGCCCAGCTGCCAGGACCCACCACCCAAACCCACACACATCTAAAGACTCCACCAGACTCTCCCCAGCCATGGGCAAGACCAAAGAACTAACCTGACCAGAGACTCAGTCTGTTCCCCTTCTAAGTTAAAAAAAAAAAAAAAAAAATTACATGTCACATCAAAAAGTTGATTCATCCTTTGATCCTCGGCTTGCGAGAGTTCCACGCAGACCATCTGAAAGCCCCGTGCAGAGCTCTGGAGCTCACAGGACATCTGTGAACACCAGTCCCAGGCCAAGAGCTGGGGCTGCACTCACTCATTCCCCTGTCACACGCACTGCTCCTCAGAACAACTCCAACCTCAGGAACCTGCTGGGTGAAGACCCAGGCCCTTTCTCTCCTGTGGGCCACGCTAAGGACTCTGCTGGGTCTCTGTGCCCCCAAGCTCCCACTCTGATGGCAGATGGCACTGATGAATCCCACAGATACTCACACACTGGAAGGTGGCCTCAAGATCCTGGCCAGCACAGCCCTGCCTCCCACCAAGACACCCCTACAACCTCCCCTGTCTCCCTAGACCCAATAACTCCAATTCCTCCCCATCCCTGGGGAGAGGGATTGAATGCTGGCCACAGAAACCAGGTGGAAATCAGAGCACGTCCCCAAATCCTACCAGCAAGACCAGCTTCCCCATCAACTGGACCTGTGCCACCTCCTCACCTAGGGCATTCTCCCCAGGCAGCCCTCTGCCTCCGACTGGACAGGAGACAGGTATCTGCCTGACCTCCAAGGTTCCCCAAAAGAGGGGACAGGGTCATGCTGGTAGGGCAAGGGCAGCTGAGGATTTTTAGACCTACATGCTGTATTAAGAGGAAGCTAAAAGTTGGGGTGTGTAGGTGTGGTGACCTATGTCTGAGGAAAAGAGTGAGAGGGTAGGACAGGGTGGGGACCATACCCGGGTGCCTCGACCAATGGTGCCTGCCAACCGCAGCTGCCGGGGTCCTGAGAGGCTGGCGGGGCAGCGCTGCCTCCCGATCCACTCTTCGATGCCTTTCCGAGCCCAGGCAGCGCTCACCGCGAAGCTGTCACCTGGGGCAGGACGAGAAGAAGCCCCTGAGTTTGGGCACCGACACCGCCGGCCTAAGGAAAGTTACTCGGGGGGGGGGGGGGCGGCAGAGAGCCCAGCAAAGGCACTCAGAGGTCCACCGGGTCCAAGAGCTGGGTTAACTCTGAGAGACGAGGGTACTCAGGAGAGGGGATTCACTGAAACCCCAAGAGCACGGATCCGGAGGGAGAGCGGGAGGCGCAGTACCGGGAGGAGGGGTCGGGGATCAGAAGAGGGAACGCGGGAGGCCCCGACTGCGGAAGAGGGCTGAGGTCAGGAGAGGGGGCGCCGTGGGCGCGGGGGCCCAAAAAGGAGCTGGGGCCAGAAAGAAGGGGCAAGGTCTTGGGGTAAGGGACTTGGGGGTGTGAAGAGCAGGCGCATGGAGCGCAGAGGCAGGGACGCAAGAGGGGGAGGGGGGAGGGTCAGAAGTGGGGGCGCAGGACCCCGGGGAGGGAGAGGAGGTTCGGAGGAGGGGGGCGAGGATCACCCCGGCAGCGGGCTTGGGGCGTCTGGTCGCGGGAGCTGGGGCTGGGGTGGCCCCGGTAGCTAAACCCAGAGGCCTGGGCCCTTCGGCCGCCGCCTGGGTGCCTCCCCATCCTTCCTCGGGTGGCCCCGCGCGTCTCTACCTTCCGGGCTCTCCCTGCGCTTGCACACGGCGGCTGCAGGCACATCGCGCGCGGCGGCGGCGGCGGGAGCCGGAAAGAAAGGAGAGGGAGAGAGTTAGCGACGCGGTGTGGGGACTCGGGGCCGTGGTCGCGGCGCGCGCGGCGGGGCCACTGACCCGGCTTGGAGTGAAGTTTCCCCATGCTGGGGGCGCGGCGGGCGGGGACGTCCTAAGCCATGCGCCCGGCCCGCGGGCCCTGCGCCTCGCCTCGCCTGGCTCTCCTCCTCCCGGAGCAGCCCGGGAGCCGAGCAAGCCCAAGGCGGCACCGGGACGCGCTCCTGCCGCCGTCGCCGCGGCCCGACTGACGCCCGGGCGCGCTGAGCCCCCAGCCCGCCGCCGCGGCCCCCCGCCTCCCCGCGCGCCCATTGGCCGGGCGCGGCGCATCAAAGGCGAGGCGGGCCGCGGCGGGGCGGGGGGCGGGGCCTCGCGCGGGGCGGGGCCCTGGCAGGGCAGGGATGGAGCCAGGGAGTGACCTGAGGCCGGGGGCGGGACTTGGCGGGGCGCGGAGGGGCCCGCAAGGCTCCCTGCAGCGATCAAGGCTCCCTGCAGCGATCGACCTCCCCCGCGGGGGTTCGGGGGCCAGTGCCCAGGCTCAGGCCAGCAGAACACCCTCACCCCTCCTTAACAGTGCGGTGTCTCCCCTCCTCTGTTTTCCTCGAAGTGGGCAGAGCAGGACTCAGCTTCTCCAATTTACAGATGAGGAAACTGAGGTTGGGCGAGGCGACCACAGCTGCTCTGGTGCAAGGGTCTCCTGTGCTCCTCCCTCGGCGCCGCTTCCCAGCCTTCCCACGACCTGCCTCCTGCAGAAAGTGTTCATTTACTTCCCGCCCTTGACCCTCCTCCGACTCTAGTTTTTTATTAGTCCTGGAGAAACCCCCACATCATCTCGGACCATTGTGGGTGCAGCCTGCCTCTGGAGGCGACAAGTGTCCTGCAGCCCCCAGTTGTCAGTTGATCTTTCAGATCTTCTGGTCCAGGGGCCCGTGGGTGCCCGCCGGGGGTCGGGGCGCGCTGCCAAGCTGCGCAGCCCGGAAGGGGGTAACCGCTGGGTCTTTGATCTTTCTTGGTTTCCGCTCCCCGCTGCAGTTCTCTAGACCCAGGGGCTTGTTTGTTTTGTCTGGGGAGGTCTCTGTGGAGAGGAGGGCGACATCAAGGGGTTCCACCCCACCTTTGTGGTTCTCCAAGAGAATGCATGCTCTGCTGGGGACACTTTGGGCCTGTATTAAGCTCCTCCTGGTATCAGACCGCCTGGGCGTGGGGGAAAAAACAAAAACATCCTGAGCTCAGTGAACAGAGTAACTCTGCCCTCTGGGCTAAATACTCTGTGTGAGCCTTAGTTTTATGTTCTGTAAAATGGAGACTCCATTCTGCCCTTTTCATCTGACCCTGAAGCACCACCGTTCAATAGATTGCACATGTGTCCACGTGTGTAAGCTTAGATTTTCTAGTAGCCACACTTTTAAAGTAAAAAGAAATAGGTGAAATTAATATTAATATTTTATTTGACCCAGTATGTCAAAAATGTAATTTAAACATATAAGACGTTATATGCTTTGTTTTGCACCCTTTAAAAGCCCAGTGCATATTTTATACTCAAAATGCATCTCAACCCAGATTGCAAGAGATCCTTAGCATGTAGCAAGTGGCCACTGTACTGGGCAGCACAGCTCTTGAGCATCCATGTGTCTCAACCTGTAATCCCAGCACTCTGAGTGGCTAAGGCAAGAGGACCGCAGGTTTGACCCAGCCCAGGCAGTTTAGGTACTGTCTTTACACAGTACCAAAAAAGAAAAAAGTGAAAGGACACTGAGAAAAGTGTGGCCCTCTAGAGCCTTAAGTGTCTCCATCCTGCAGTGTCTTCCACCAAGAGCGGAAACAAGTTTACCACCCCCCCACACACACATCTGCTTCACCACTTCAACCCCCAGTCCCCCTACCTCATCCGTGTTTGGAGGAAATGAAGGCTATTCTTACAAGCAGGTACATTAATTAAGGCCATGTCAGCAGTTCTTTAACTAGCACCTACTCTACGCCTGTCATTGTCCTATGTTTGTACAGCCCTCGTAACAGCTCTCTGATGCAGACTTGTAGAAAAACCTACTAGGCTCAGAGAAGTGATGTCACTTTTGCCCAAGGTCACTGACAACTAGTCAGTGACCCAATTAGGACCCCAACCCAAGTCTGCTGATTGCATTGTTCATGACCATCTTCACTACAGCAGGCTCCCTGACACATTCCAAACCTAATATTCCGCAAGTAGAGAGAAAGCCCCCACCCAGAAATACATACTAAGTGCCACGTGGCAAGTGTTGTCTTGGGCATTTAAAATACTTATCAGAGAACAAAATGGACAACTGCCACTCTCATCATCACCCTCATTCTCCACCAGGTAGAAGATTGGCACAAACAGTCACCATAATGAAAGGGTAAATAGTATGGCAACTTTGCCCTGCAAGAGACATTTGGCAGTGTCTGGGGGCATCTCATCCTAGAATGCAGGGAACAGCCTCCCCCTCCTCCAGCAATGTCATCTAGCCCCAAATGTCAGAACCCCTGGCTGTAGGGCATTGAAAGAATACAGTAGAACAAGGGGGACCCCCCTCAAATGGAAATGGAACTCACTCAGGGTTGCTGCCTTTCTCATCCCCACCCCCCACCAGTGCCAGGGTGCAGCAAAATCAAAGCACAACTCTGAGCATTCTTTCTCACAGTGCTTAGAAATTTGGTTACTTCCTTAAACCAGTCATGGCTTTCTTCTTTCATGAGAAAACAGTATCCCCTCTTCCCCTTGGGAATTTCTTCTTACAGTTCAAAAAGAGTTTAAAAGCAAGGACTAAAACTCTGCAGTTACTGGCTTGAGACTTAGGGGAAGTAAATCCCAAATGTCCAGACACCATGGGCCCCTCCACCTTGGGCCTTGTGCTTCCCAGCCTGGCCAGCACCTGGGATCTTGCTGCTTTGGTGATGTGACACCCCACACACACACACCTGGCCCCTGGGTGAAAATCCACAAAGGTAGGCCACTTGGGGAAACATTAGGCTGTCCAGACTCTAAGAAGGGACTCTGTGGAGACCACCAGTGCATGGTCCAGCTGGGGCAGCTATTCCACTTCAAGGACTGCTGGCCCCACGACTCACTGTCTTTTTGTGTGTTTTAATAATTTATCTGGCCCATTTCTTGGGCTGTATACTTACAGTGACACATCTTTTTCTTTGAAGATTTCCCATCCTTTGGGGGAGGAGAATGAGAGAGGAAGGCAAGGGAGAGATAAGAGAGAGAGATTATAACAAACGCGTTGCATGGGGCTGGAGATTTAGCAAGGCTGGTTTAGGTGAGATCTGTCAAACATAGAGCTGGAGAAAAAAAATGTTTAAACCACATCACCCTGGTTAGCGGTCCCTACCCCGAGGAAAGCCATCTGATCTGACTCCCTTTAAATACCACTTTCCAGAGGAAGACTTCCTTGGCTCTTCTTTACTCTCAATAGCCAGGGCATCCCTCACTCTCCTGCATCCCCTTGGCCCTCCTCGTTTTTAAATAAGGAGACCAAGTGTTCCTCCTAGAGACCCCCTTGAAGCCAGGTCTCACCCCCCTCCACTCAGCTCCAGATTCAATACCCAACACAGCATAGCACATCATAGGGGTCTGTATGGAAAGAGAGTCACTATACTTGGACTGTGTTATGGTCACTAAGATGGTAGATCCCAGGGAGGCTGAGGCAGGAGGATGGGATGGCAAATTCAAGCGCAACCTGGGCAATTTAGCAATATAATGAGACCCTGTCTCAAAATATATATATATTTTTAATGGCTGGGGATATAGATCAATGGCAAGCGCTGGATTCATTTCCCAGTACAGGGAGAGAAAAAGAAAGTACAAAGGAAAAAACTAATTCCTGAATCTCGAGTGGTTCCTCATAGGACCCTGGAGTTGCTTCATTGCACAGGCATTGCTAAAGGGTCTGGAACGCAGTTTGGGAGAGGAGAAGAGGGTTAAACATGTCTGCAGGAGAAAGTAAAAGGGATTTTGGAGATGGCAATCAGGAAGGAGAAGAGAAAGGTCTCAAGGCAGACCAAGGGGTAAGAAGAGTAATATGAATTAGGGTGGTAGAAGGGGTGCTTCCGGTGAGGAAGAGCAGCCAAGTACCGTTCAAGGCGGGGAGGTACGGTTCAGTTGGCAGCTGTCACCTGCTCAGCTCTGTGCTGTAACCTCCCTCCATTGCTTCTCACCTCCTCAAAGTCCTCACTGTATTTCTGAGTTAGTGGCCCCATCCACAACAAAGGCATCAGAAAGATGGCCCAGGGCAGGTCGTCCAAGGTGCCCCAGGCCATGGGCAATTTTCAGAGTGGAGCTCGGCAGTGGGAGGAAGCATGGGAGCCAAAAGTAGCCAAGCGTATCACCAGCCCCAGCATTGATCCCTGAAGTTGACACAGGGGGTGCTGAGAGCAAGGGATCGGGTCTCCATGCCACTCCATTTGAGTATTAAAGGGAAAAGGCCCCACAGGACGGCTACTTGAGCCCCCTCCAAATGTTGGTTGAATTGAACTGGATTCTTTTCTTGCAATAATGGGGATTGAACCAGGAGCCTTTGCACTGAGCTACATCCCCAGCCCTTTTTATTTTTTTATTTTTGAGAGAGGGTCTTGCTAAGTTGGCTTTTTGTAGCACCAGCCCCTCCCTGGTGGAGGGTCTTTGGGTAAACTCAGAACATGGCTTCCCTGGTTCAGTTAAGAAGCCTAGTCATGATTCCCATCTTTGCCTATTTCCAAGCTTCTTGTACAAAAGAGAGAAAGAAATCCCTGCCTTTCAACCCTTTGCTTTTCAGTTATATAGAATCATCCTAGGCCTGACCATCACACTCAGGGTGCCCATCCATGACATCAAAGGAAGGGTCAGACTTATGGTAATTTCTTAAAATGGGTTTCACTGAATACTGGGTTTTTTAAATTGTTGTCATTGTTTGTTTGTTTTTGATGCTATAATGGGAAAGAAAGAGCTTTGTGAGAAATTCTCGGCAGCCTTGGCTTAGCTGAGGGGAGATGAGTTCTTTTTCTGCAGGACTTGTCAGTGCCTTCAGTGAGCACACAGCTTCGCTCTTCTCTAAGAGGAAGAGACCATACGGAGGATTTCTTAAACTCACCAGACCAGGAAGCTTCTAGAGAAGTTCATGGAATATGGTTTGGAACCTGCTGGAGCTAATGACTTCCAAGGTTGTTTCCAAGTTCTGGTCTGGGTCTAAAGTAAGAGTGCAGTAGGAAGGAGATCTCAGAGGGAACAGGCTGGTGTATAG